TCCCAACACAAATGAAGTTAACTCGATGGTTTTTACTAATTTAAGTTGATTTTACCAAACAATTTAGTTATCTTAAACGATACCGAAATTTGAGTTCAATAGTTTGAACAAGCAGTAAATGTATTTAAAGGCTCTTAAGTTTCTAAATCTAATGAGATTGTGTTTTTTTTTTTTTTGCACATTTAGACCTCGGCACACAGTAAGAGAAAAGCAGAATTTTAAAATGTAATCCAGATTTATTTTAATGATGTATTTCTGGATGGACCGGTATAAGATAACCTTGGATAAAAATTTGGCTTCACTGTATCACAATATTGTGATTACAGCTCTTAAAAGTTTTTTAAATGTCTTGGTAAAAAAAACAACCTTTTTTTCCATTTGAGAAAAATACATTTCATTTTCAGAAACATTTTTATTATTTAGGAACCGTAAACGTTTCAGGATGATTTTAAATAAATCGTTGACTTCTGCTATCTTTATTACTTTCAAAGACATGTTTCTTTACAACACAAGAAGAAAAAACCTTTACATATACCTAAGGAACGGTATAACAGAATTTAGCAGTTTTAATACCTTGACTTTTCTAGACCGCGGTAAACCTTGAAACCAGGTTAGCGTCCCATGCCTAGATGCATTGCGATGGTTCATGTATTGTTTACCATGCTTTAAACATTTAGTTTGCAATCGCATGCATGTACGACTTCAAAACAACATTAACACTATTTAACTGACTAAAGAGTTTCGTATTTTGATTAATTATTGGCAGATAATAATCTGATTTTCCTATCTTGGAACTTGCAAAGAATACTTTTTCCTGAAATTGTATTTAAGTAATAGTTCACGCGAAAAGGAAAATTGTTGTTTACTCTCCCAATAAGTTTCTTTCTTTTGAGCACAAAGGAAGATCTTTCGAAGAAAGCCGCAGACCTGCATCCATAGAAGTCCATAGTCTATATATATATTTTTTTTTACCATGGAAGTTATATATATATATATATATATATATATATATATAATAAGGGTTATTTAGGTCCCCATGAGGTGGTTTTAGTGAATACTTTTTCATATTAGGAAGCTGAATGTGCAAATATAAAATCATCTTTACTTGGTTGTAGTAGTGTATAACAGGAAGTGTATTTTTCTCCCAATTTTTAATTGTACAGCTATGGCGGATATGGTGGATCCCAGGGTTATCAAGGTGGACAGGTAATGCTCTTTTTTTTTTTTTTCAATAATGTAAAGAATTATTAATCTGCAACTCTAGATTGTATAAGTTAATACTATATTATTTTTCTTCTTCCTCCAGCAGGGATATGGACAGGGTAATGGAAGCGGAAGTTACAGCGAACAGAGCTATGGTGGTTATGGGCAGTCTGGTGGTGGGTAGTCTGTAATAGTCTGTTTAGGGCTGCATGATATTGGAAAAATCTCACATTTGTGATTTTTATTTTATTTTGTATTATATTATGATTTAGATACTATTTCACCAGAGGACTTGGAACATCTCTATATGCAAAGTATTTATGATTTTAGACTGATTGGCTTGATTCTGCATTAGATTAATTCAAAGCATAGATGAAAACAATAAAGAGAAGGCTACAATTGAAGCAAACAGTGTTTTAATGGTTTAAGTCTAGCACAGGGTATCTGCGGCGTCTTAAATTCTTGTATTTCAAATGCTAAATTTTAGGCCTTAAGTCTTAAATACTGAAATATTGTATTGTAGGTCTTAAATCAGTTGCAACAGGTCCTAATTTCTTATAGCCTATATGTATAGCTACCCAATCTGACCATTAACATTCATACAATTCCAGTTACTTTTCTCGCAGTAACGTTTGTTTAAAAAAAAATTCTGTTTATTTACTGCTGAGGATCCTGACCTAACTTATATTTTTATTATTAATATTGTTGTTGTGTTAATAAATGCATTAAATTATAATAATTTTGGATGGGGCAAGTAAAATCTTTTCCAACTCTATTCGAAAAATCCTTAACATTTAGTCTCGTATAAGTCTAAAATGTCATTCATAGTGGTCTCAAGTTGTTAAATTTAACTTGTTAAAACCTGCAGAAACCCTGTAACAGTATTCAGGTACAGTAACTGAATAAAACTAAAAATAATTCAATAAAATAAATCCATTTCAAATTACTATTGGTACAATTGCTCATACCTAAAAGCTTTTACATTCCTCATACAATCACAGGCCTCAAAGAATGAATAATTTTAGGTTCATTGGCATGACTCTGGGGTACATCTGCATAAAATGTAAAACACAAAGCAAACATAAATGCAAAAAAAACTAACTTATTTTTAAACAGTATTTAGATAATTTAATTACACTACTTTAATCATTATCAAAGTTACTAACGCTATACATGTATGCCTGAAAGCTTTTAAAGTCCTCATGCAGTCACAGGCCTCAATAACATATGCAAATGAGGCACTATAATACAAACTCAACATTTCAAATCCTGCTACATCACTATTGTGATGATCACATTGCGATATCGATGCTGAAGCCATTTATCGTGCAGCCCTAATTCTGTCACTCGGGGTGGATGGTGTGTATAATTGTCGTTATTCTCTACAGGAGACAGTTATGGTCAGTCATCGCAGGGATATTCCTCTGGTGGTTATGGCCAACAGCAGCAGGGCTCTGACAGTTATGGACAACAGGGTTCTGAATCCTCGTCTGGGTATGAGATCTGACTTGACGTTTTACATCACATGCTGCTTGAATCTCAGTGGTTGAAGCGGGATTGTTTGTGCAAGTGTGTTTGATCCTTGCAATAACACCAAGAGTGAATGTATGTTAGTAGTCACATCTAGACATGTTGAAATGATTATGTATTATAGGGTTGTCATGATACTGGAATTTGCTACCAAGTAATACTGAAATTATAAAAATAAAGCTTTTCCCATGAACATTTGAAAACATTATTAAATGGTGCTGATTTGCAGTTGGGTTCACATGCTCAACAGATATTACCATGATTGGCCTTAAAGGTAATCAGTTAACCAAACTCACCGCTGTTTACGAAGTGTGACCACATATACTGGGATGCTAAAGGCTCGTACACACCGGGATGCTTTGCGTTTATTGTCAGCGTTAACCCAAGCAATTTTTTGTCGTCGAGCAGAAGAGTATGCAAAATCACTTTGTTAGATGGCGCTACACAACTTTAAGCTTTTGAAACCTGCTTGTAACACAAAAGACGGAAAGTTGACGCGCTTGTTATGGATGGTTCAAGTAGCAGCTCTAGCGATGAAGAAATGATTATTATTTTTGTTTATTGTAACATTTTAACAATACAAAAAGAAATGTATACATGCCAGGGGGTAAGCATAAATCAAATACAAATATACATATGTAAAAATCAAATAAATACATTGTAGAGTTCACAAAGTTTTAAAGTGCGTAGGGCTTTCTTATTTAGAGTCTTTGATACTACTAATATATAATCATAATTCCGTCATCAGCACCTTAAAATTGGGTTTCCTAATGGTAAATTTACATTTATGAATGTAAAATTGTGAAGAAATGATTATTGTTCAACAGTGCAATAAGCAGCTTCATGTTCATATCGCCTCTGGGTTTCTTCAATGTGCGCTCGCATTGACCGTTTTGCTCTTGAGCACCTCCAAATGCTGCTTACTGTAACTTCAGCAGCTCCGTGAACTAAAGTGCCAATCTGATTGGTGGAGAAGGTATCTTCAGTATTAATTGGTACTAATTTCAGTATCGTGACAACTCTAATATATTGTGGTGATGAACATGCACGATATTGTGGGCTCTGGTCAATTTAACTTGGAGTGCTTTTTAAGAGTATTCACATTGTGTTTGCCGTGCTGTTCACTACAGCGGCCAAATGCTTGGAGACTTCAATGGCTTAATTGGTTTTGTTTGTTTTTACTTGTGCAGTAATGCTTAAGTTAATTTAATTACATTTTCATTTTTGGTTGAGCTATCGCTTCAACACAGGGGTCACCAATCTTTGTCCTGGAGGGCCGGTGTCCCTGCAAGGTTTAGCTCTAACTTGCCTCAACACACCTGCCTGGGTGTTTCAAGTATACCTAGTAAGACCTTGATTAGCTTGTTCAGGTGTGTTTGATTAGGGTTAAAGCTAAAATCTGCAGGACACCGGCCCTCTAGGAATAAGTTTGGTGACCGCTGCTCGTATGAAAACATTTTAGGCCTTTTATAAAGTCTTCGGTTCCGTCTTAATACAGGTATGGGGATAAATCCTATGGCCAGCAGCGCTCTTACGGACAGCAGTCAAGTGGTGGTGGTGGTGGAGGAGGGTATGGGCAATCCAGTGGCTCATATGGAGGCTCTCAAGGTGGCTACGGGAGACGCAATGATGGTAATTATTTGCTGTTTTACTACTTTAGTCTAAATTAATAATACATTTTTTATTCCCCAATCAATTTAAACTGCTAGCATTTGTCAATCATATTTGTTGTAATGCGGCTGGGTGATATTGCAAAAGTATGACAATGTCGTGTTTTATATCATTTGATATTGATGATTATTAACCGCTTTTTCAGTCCATTTAGTAATAATATTAGTGTTTTTTTTAAACCACTTTATTTTAGTCTTCCAATATTACTAAGGCAAATGGTTTTAGTTGCAGAAACTAATATTTAAACAATATCTGATCTCCTGATAATAAACAAATGTTAAATACTTTAACTTGATAAAGGTTACAGTGTGTGGAACAGTAAAGGCAGATCAACGGTCTTTTTTTTTTTTTTATGATGTTCATAAACTAATTTCTTTTAAAATCTTCAGGGGACAGCCGCAGATTTGGAGATGATGAAGGCTCTGACCGGTCTGAGGGTTACAGGGGTCGGGGGCGTGGAGGTTATGACCGCGGAGGCTATGACAGAGGTGGCCGCGGAGGCCCACCCTCCGGTATGGGGTAAGTCTGCCCACCCTTGAAGGTATCATATCACACTAATGAACGAGCAAAATAAAGTGCATAGGCTTATAGGTGTTAAAGCTACGATTTTAACCAAAGGTAATGTATTAGCGTTTGAAAGGTTATACTTTCTTTATAGATCCCCAATCTGTTTCTGTGAAGTGACACTCCACCCAATTGAATATTTAGGCTTATTTTACAGTAGCTCCCTTCTCTCCTTATGGGGACTTTTTATTATGTATTAATATGCATCACATTTATATCCAGGACCTAATACAACTAGGACTGCACGATATTGGAAAAATCTGAAGTTGCGATTTTTGTTAACAAATATTGCAATATATTTTTTTTTTATATCAATAGTTTCACAAGTTAATAGCACTATTTGAGGGGTTTCTGGGGAGTCTAACAGTATTCAGGAACAGAAATTAAATCACCGTGCAATAAAGGCTTTGTTATAGTTCTCTTTGTCTTGTTTGTGGTCCAAATATCTAAAGATTCTTAGATGAAGTAAAAATATTGTTTTCGACTTCAGTTTTTTCTTAAAGTAATGATCTTCCAGTGAGGCAAGTAAAATCTTGTTTTCATTTTAATATTGTGGCTATTTGTACTATAAACAAGACAACTAGTCTTAAACTATTGTTGCAACAGGGGTCCGTTCTTCATACCTCACTTAAATGATCCAAGATGATTTGGCAGAATCTGGATCTGTTAATCTTAATAGCTGATGGCCAATTTAGTTCTTGAAACAAGTTTGGGATGCAATGATTGGCTGATGGAACAGCAATGTAGTGACATCATCTGATTAATATTAAGTTTTCCATGGGAGCAAAATTACATGATTCATAGTAAACGGTTTGTTAAATAAGATGCGCAATAACCTTCCACATTTGTTGTAGGCTGTTAGTTTTACATTTGGAGCAGATTTTCTTTTATTGTAGCAGGCCTATTCAGGTTTTTTAAAGCATTTTGGTTATGGTGTCAAACTTTTGCGGAGCATCAAATCACCAGCATATTAACTGTCAAAACGTGCATGACTGCATAAATAATTCCTTTCCCAAGAATATTGGTCATGTCTATTATCATACATATTGTATTTAAGGTGACAAAGCAAGTCTCTCATATAATACATCTACTAAAAGACAGAAAATATTACTTTTACAATTGGCATTTTACATAAATCAGATTAACATTTTCATTAGTCAATAATATTACTGAATTAAACTGAATATAGATTTAGAAACATTTACTCAAGTAAATAAACAAAATTAATGATGGGCTAAAAATCTGCTTTCTAAAAATCTGGCTAAAAATTCTACGTGCACAGATTTCGTGTGGGCCTAGTCATTACCTTAAAACCGTACACGCTTGTATCTGAGAAGTCCATATTAATGTTCTCTTTGAACCCCCTGGGGACAACACCTACATGACTGAAAATAGGATTTGGTACATGCTTTTTGTATTACCTTTGCTTGATACGGCCTCTTACTGTTTATATGAAATAAGCTGTTGCTCCCGAGCAGGTTTGAGCTACCAGACCTGTGGCTATAACAACTCTTGGATGAGTTTTTAAGAACGAAATGATCCTGGATCGTCAAATCATCAATAACCAAATTCAGCTAATTTAGTAATCCACATACAAACAGACCCCAGGTCAACTAGAATTCAGGCTCAAAATTGCTTATCTCGCGGCGTACTATTGTGCATGTGCACATTGCGAAATAGATGCTGATATGATATCGTGCAGCCCTAGTTTCAGCTCGATGCACGGTCACACTTTACAATAAGGTTTATTAGGTAATGTTAATGCATTTACTAACATGAACAAACAATGAACAATACATTTACTACAGTATTTATTCATGTTAGTAAACATTAGTTAATGAAAGTACAGTTGTTCATTGTTAGTTCATGTTAACTCACGGTGCATAAACTAATGTTAACAAGCATGGACTTGGATGTTAATAATGCATTAGTAAATGTTCAATTATGATTAATAAATGCTGTACATGTGGTGTTCATGTTAGTAAATGCATTCACTAATAAACCTTGTAAACTGTTACCCGATGCACAAATGAAAATGAGATCTGTCACATTATAGATGTATGTCCTCAAGGATTTATGTACATTATAATCAGTGAGAGTCCTTCAGTCTTTGACTTCACTTGAGAAGAGACCTATGCTCATTTATATGCATTTCTCAGGGCTAAATTTAGTGGTTGTATTAGCATGATTTAAATCCTGATCTAAAATCAGTTCTAATACATGTCATCCAACAAATGTTGTGTGGCTTTTTGTTTTTTTTTTTTATCTGGATGCATTCTTTTTAAAGCTCATTTCTTCTGGACTTGTTTTTCTCAATCATTGGGTTTCCCGCTTTCCCTTTGGGAGAGTGTTCACATTTGGAAAGCTAAGCTACAAGGAGCAAATCTCAGTCAGTCCACATGAATCGGTGTCTGTACAGTGTTGTTTCTTTTTTGTGTTAACTGGTCTACATTTTATACTACAGGTGTCAAAGTGAGTGAAATTAAAGTTGGACCTCATAATGGACCTCACTCATAATGGAAGGAAAGCGTGCGCTCGTCTACACGAGTGCGTCGACAGTTAGCTTCAATTGATGCTAATCTAAAGAGGGAGCAGGGAGGTTGTTCTCCGTTGCTCTTCTCTGGTTTTAGTTGCATCGGTCTCAGAGTGCACGCTCAATCTCAATCTTAAACCCAAAATTCTAATTTGCCTAATCGGTTTCGATCTGAAATGATTCATGCACATTGGGCCGTCATCTTTAACCCAGCTTCAATGGGAGCCGATTTCTCCTCTGTAGTAAACCATGGCAGGAATACTGGTAAAGAGGGGAGCATTGCTCTCCCAGGTTTCAACAAAGGAAAGCCATCATGTCTTCAATTTTTTCCTCTGCAGTGGTGGTGACCGTGGTGGCTACAAAAATTACGGTGGTAAGTGACGAGCATCAGAACTGTCTCAGTGGGGGAAAGCAAATAAGTGCAGAAAGATTTAGCTGAACAAATGAACTCTTGAGCCACCATTTCTTTACTTTGTCAACCCAAAGGAACATCACCTTATTGTTTATTGCTGTTCTCTCTGGTAGTGCTTTTTGTGAGCTAAACTGCTCTTTAATGAAAAAGGTGCTGTTGCATGAGGAAAAGTAGCTTTAGATGCCAGTGTTCGGGATGCCAGCTGCACATGGGGAAGAAGAAACATTAGATCAATACTTGGATTTCTTATTTTGATTAGACTCAGTTTGTGCTGGTGTACAGAGGTGTTGGAAATGCTGCAGCATTTTTTGGATGCTCTGGTGAAATAGCTAAATGTTTCATTTTTAATTGAAAAAAGGTCAAGTCTGCATAGCCAAACAGATTTTATTTATTAATTATTGGTAGACTTTAGTAATTAGGACTCATGCCTCTGTGATGTTTCTTTCTCAAGTTCTTACATTGTTTTTTCCCTTTCATGTCTTGTTCTTTTTAGGACCCAAAGACTACGGCCAGAAGGATGACGGTAAGCACTAAGGAGAGACTTCATTAGAGTATTTCATAGTAGGGATGCAACTAAGGGTGTCACGATTTTAAATCGAAATCGATTGAAATTTATGCTCTATATCGAATAAAAAAAAATAGAATCATCGATGCTGCCATGCCCCCAATGTCACGTCAGCTTGGCTTGCCAAGTGGGAAAAACAGGCTTGTTGAAGTGCTTGTTAAACTGTGCAGACACAGGAGACCTGTCGACAGGGCTTAAACTTTCAGGGCTCGACAATAAGGACTGCCCAATGATCCAGTGCTAGCGTGCGAGACGCACTGGTGAGTGTACAGTGCTGCCTTGCTGCGTGCTGCGACTGTCAATTGTTCAAATACAATCTTACGGTGCTTTCACACATAGACGTTTTTTCGGAATCTGTCTCGTTTCCCCCGTTAGCGCGGTTTGTTTGGCATATATCCAGAAGTTGCGCTCGCATCCGCGCCAAATCAATCAGTCCGAGATCGCCTGAATGAGACTATCTCTGCCCTATTAAGCGTATCGATTGTAGTGAGAAAACAAAACGACCCAGGCTATATCACAGTGTATTATGATCGTGTAATAGTTATATACGGCTATATGAAGAGAGAATGATGAGCAGGGTGAGATGTCATTCTTAACGGTAAATGCGAAAGCATGCTGAAATATTACCGAGAGCTGTTTATCCAGCCTGATCTCGGTTTATCCGTTAGGAAAATTGACCGAAGTTACTATCTAATCATTTTTTCATGTTTTAATCTTATATGTTGTGTTAGGCCAGTTGTTTTGTTCTTTCTTTCAAGCTGTCAGTGCGGAAATGATCAACATTGATATGCTTCGCGATCTGATTCAGACTTGGTTGATCTGCTATATATAACATGTCTCTCTATAATTTTAGCCTAAAATGCAGAATTCTAGCCAACGTTTCTTTAATAGATTGATTAATTCAATAGATCGATTTTGGTAATTATGTGTGTAACTTACCTTTATTCATTTACTGTATAATTTGGTTATGGGTAAAACAAAGACCATGCAGGTCAGGTAGTTTAAACGGTAGGCTACAAATAATTAATTCGTTATTAATTAATTAATTATTCATAATCGAAAATGTAGGATCGTGACACCCTTAGATGCAACGATTAGATTTTGGTTGTATGATTATAGATTTGTGTGTGCATTAATTTCGAAACTCTACTAGTTTAGAAAATCACAAACTCTTTAAAGTGTTATTTACTGCTGCTCAATGACCAATTAATACAGCAAAATAATAGTACGAACAATTAGGGCTGCACGATTAATTGAAAAAAAAGATCACTATCTCGTTTCGACCACCACACAATCTTACTTCAGCATATCTACGATTCAGCCAATTATATTTTCAAGTTCAGGGTAAAGCGTAAAGGTGGTTGCAGAAGTCCTCACATTTTGTTTTATATACATTGACACCACCTCCAGACGGTGGTAAGTGTCACATACTTTATTTATAAGGTATAATTGACCCAATAATTTATTTTTCTTAATTAGGGATGCTCATTTCGGTTATTTTGCTAACCGACAACCGCCGCTCGTTAACCGGTTATTAATGGTTAACTAGTCAGATTTCTTTTTTTTTTTTTTAAACAAATTGATCTGTCTTTTGTGTCTGACACGATAAATATTGCATTTTAAAGTACTGATTTATTTTAACATGCTAGCATATTAATAACTGCTAATTTAATGCGTTTGTGCACAAATTAAACGTTTGTACTTTTTTTTTTTATTTTTTTTTTATTTTTTTTTTTTATGCAACTATCAATGAAAAGAACAGTTATTTTACTATACAGTGATAATTGAATCTTTTTTTTTTTTTTTTTCCTCTCTCTTTACATCTTATGAAGCTAATCGGCCAGCTCTTGTCACATGACATACAGCATTTTTTTCAACTAGGTGCGCCCGGAAAACTTGAAAGCATTGCGTTGTTGCCAATATATGCATGCACGCCGTGTTGGAAATAACGAACTTGCATGTGCAAAAGACAGGACAGGGGAACAGCGCTTGATAAACTTTTCAGCCATAGTTAAAATCAGCCTTTAATTCAGTGTGTACAGCCACTGTGTACAAGCTCAGAACTTTACAGTAGCGCACAGTTGGCGTAACTTTTAGTTGCAGCAGTTTTGTTTTGTGCAGAAACGTGGTGTTGAAGCCTTTAATATTAATTAACTGTGACTAAAGCACGGTTAAAAGTGAAATGGGTTAATCAATGCATCTCTATGTGATAGGGTTGCACAATTTATCGTTTTAATATATTGACATTGCAATATCCAAGTGTGCAATAGTCACATTGCAGGATCTGCAGTGTCAAGATTTTAATTTACCAAACATTAGTTCACAACATAGTGGCATTTCAAATTTTAATGTTGGAGTGAGCTGAATTGCATTTGTTTTTAAGGCCTGTGACTTGAGCATCTCAAGCTAATTTATTGTATTTGTGCACAAATTAAACATTTGTACCTTTTTTTTCTTACTACTTTTTAGATTTATTGTACATTTTACACAACTATCAATGAAAAGGACAGTTTTATTTTACTATACAGTCATACATTTTTTTTTTTTTTTTTAAGCGAACACTGAAAACACCTTAATCATTGTTTAATTTGACTTTGCTCTGTCGTAGTTGGCATTGCTTGTCATTTAAGTTGTATAATGCATAGTAGTCACATATGAAATCATAATCAATCTACAATTATGAATTCTTTACAAAGCAATATTAAAGTCATCTGTTGAAATTGTATTCGTATCGCAATATTAATCACAGTAAGTAAAAATATTGCAATGACCGTTTTCCAATATCGTGCATCCCTAGTAGATTTAAAACATCCGTTTAGCTGTGCCTTTTTTTCTTTAATATTTTCTTTTTTGTTTTTTATAATGTAAAGCACTTTGAATTTCCAATCTGTATGAAATGTGCTATATAAATACTGACAGGCCTAGTATTTAATCCTAATTTCAGAAATCATGACTTTAATATGGATTTATTTTCTCCTGTTTGCAGATGGCGATCAGGATAACTCGGACAATAATACCATCTTTGTCCAGGGTCTTGGGGAGGATGTCAATGCTCAGGAAGTGGGTGACTATTTCAAGCAAATCGGGATCATAAAGGTAAATTCACTCACCTAGAAAACATTAATTTACACCAGATAAAGCTGCATGATTTTAAAGTCTCTTGTCAAGCTGCTTTCACCATGAAATATTTTATTAGAATGTGAACTACAATTTATATAATAACACTTTAGGTGTTTTTAAAGGTATCACTAGGACACTTTTAATTTTATCAAATATTGAATTGAGAAATCCTAATATTGTGGGGGTTATTTTCTGTATTTGTTTAATCTCTTAAAAATATGGAGTTCTTATGAAATTTGTGGTATTTTATATTAATTAGGGGTGCACCAAATATTTGTCCACTGAATTTTCGACCAAAAAATTCCGATGCTAAAATCAGACCCTCTAGTTCATGCCTTTTTTATTTATTATTTTAAATGACTAGGTACCTCAGGTATAGGACATGCATTAGGGCTTCCCCCACATGTTAAGCACAAATAATGTCCTTTAATTCGGTCACGTCCAGTTGTTGTCATTGTTGAACCAATCTCAATTCGGTGATTCCTAATATTGATCTTGCTGCTGTGTGATCTCTTAAACAGGTCAACAAGAAGACTGGCAAGCCTATGATCAATCTGTACTCTGATAAAGCCACGGGACGCCTGAAGGGTGAAGCCACGGTCTCATTTGATGACCCGCCCTCGGCCAAAGCAGCCATTGATTGGTTTGATGGTATGAAAAAGCATTTTTCCACTTTTTTTGTTTTTATTTTTATTAATATTTCAAAGAAACTAATGTTTTGTTTGTTTCTTGGCAATGTAGGAAAAGAGTTTAATGGTAGACCCATCAAGGTGTCGTTTGCTACCAGAAGGGCTGAGTTCACTCAGAGAGGAGGTGGAAGCGGTGGCCGAGGGGGTCGTGGTGGTATGTTTGCAAATCTGACCTTTGCTTATTTAACCCTTCTGTTGGCTTACTGGTCAAAAATGACCCGGTGCAATTTTAACAGCAGCAGAAGAAGAAAAAAACTATTGCATTTAATACAAGTTTAGATTTCTGATATTTGAGAAGTGTCTGCAACTCCTATGCTGTATCAAATCACTTCATATTGGCTGTCAAAATGTGTGTGACGCATAAATTGCATATTACATCGCAAATAGGCATGTCACAAGTTTTGTTGTGCAATGTGTCGTCACCCAAATTGTTGCAATAAGCAATATTATTGTCATTTTTAAGATCATTTTATTCCACTGATTGTATAATGCTTAAATAACAGCATAATAATGCAACTAGCCATAAACACTTAAGCATACTTATTTTTAAGGTTATTTAGATTCAATAATTTGATGTTAAATGGTAAATGTCCTATTATGTATGTAATCACACACACGATTAAATGTCCTCTATTGGGTAAATGCTCAATTATAAACTGACACTGGTGAGCTAGAATGTAAATTGTCATAGTAATTTGTAAGTCTGTAAATATTGCAAATGGCAAAAAGTTAAGGTTTTCAAGTATTGCATAATAAGTTCAATGCATCAACTTATTGTGCAATACTTGAAAACTTTAACTTTTTGCCATTTGCAATATTTATCTACAAACAACATTTTACAATGACAATTTACATTCTAGCGGTTAGTTATTGTGACAGGCCTAATTATAAAAAAATAAAGAATATTAACTGTTTATTCATACACACAGAAAATGTACCAAAGCTGTAAAATAGGAATTTAATGTTTGTCATCTTATAAAGGTTTTCGAGGCCGAGGTGGTGGTGGTGGTGGTGGCGGCGGCGGCGGCTTTGGTGGTGGTCCGTCATTTGATGTCCGGGGTGGAGACTGGCCTTGTCCTAACAGGTGTGAATTTCAGACTTTCAGCAATCAGTATACTCTTATAATAGTCCAGATTTATTCACTCATTCATTCATCTTTTAGTTCTTGTGGCAACATGAACTTCGCCAGGCGATATGAATGCAACCGGTGTGGTACACCGAAGCCAGAAGGGGACAGTTTCGGTGGTGGTGGCGGCGGCAGTGGTAAGTAACGTGTAATAAAACTAATTGAGGCTTATTTTCTTTTTGGCCAAGCAGACATTTTCTCCAAAGCTTAAAAGCACAGGATTCATATGGTTGCTGGAAATCTTTCAATGTTTGAACTTTGGTTTTGTTAAACTGCAGAATTAACAGCCACATGTACAAGTAAATCATCCCTGCCAGTTCTCCTAATCTGAGTAGCAGGTCAAATTTTGGTTGAAACGACCAGAAAAACTACAGCCTGTGCTCCATCTTTTATTAATACTGACATATAGGATGCGTTTCATTTGCGGCATGGCTAAAATAAACAGAAGTCTTTATTAAAGTTTCTCTTTATCAGTTAATAAACGTTATTTTAACATTATCAGGCCTGTGACCAGCTTATTAAAAGGGGTGTTTTTTATTTATTATTATTTTTTTATTCATTAAAACAATCTTTTTGCAGTTATTCGCCTGATTTTTCTTTTTAATTTTGTGGTGTAAATAGCGTTTTAGTGACATCTATAGTTCTATCTGTTTTATTCACCCATCCCTATTAATGTCAAGTGCAAACCTATGCTCTTGTCTGAAGCTAATCCATCAAAATAACTTATGAAATAAAATAAGGAGCAACTGTCCATATTTTAGCTTGTGAACTCTCATTGATTAATGTTGTGGTTTCTCCACTTTTTCCCAGATCGCGGCAGCCGCGGTGGCTATGGAGGAGATCACGGGGACCGCGGCGGCGGCTTCAGAGGTGGGAGAGGAGGTGGATTTAGAGGAGGAGATCGTGGAGGCGGAGGATACAAAATGGGTGGAAGGTAATGAAGCGCTTCAGCCACACTATTAACATGGTGTACAGTTGAGGTCAGATATATTAGCCCTCCGCTTCCAATTTAATTTTAGATTTTTTTTTTTTTTTCTCTCATTTCTGACAGATTTCTTTAGCACATTTTTTAAACAATAGTTTTAATAACTCATTTCTAAAAACTGATTTCTTTTTGTCATGATGACAGCACATAATATCTGACTAGATAATCTTCAAGACACTAAGTATTCAGCTCTAAGTGACATTTAAAGGCTTAATTAGGGTAAAGTTAGGGTAATTAGGCACAGTGTGTAACAGTGGTTTGTTCTGGAGACAATCCAACACTAATATTGCTGAAGGGGGCCAATAATATTGAGCTTAATGGCTTTTAAAAACAGCTTTTCTAGCTAAAGTAAAACAAATAAGACTCGAGACTTTTTTGTGAAATGTTCATTGCTCTGCTAAACACCATATGGGGAATGTGAGATTCACAAGAGGGCAAATAATTAACCAACTATATGCAGAGACTTTTTATTTGGAAGAAGCCCGCTTGCGTGCTGGTTCGTTTTAAGTTAATGTTCTTCACTACTTGCACAGTATATCATTTCAGCATCGATATCGTAATCTTGATTCTGCAAAGTCACATTAAAGGATCTACTATGTTGAGTTGGTGTAGGGATGGTATACGGTTAACCCAAAGAATGAGCAGTGTCAGATGAAGAAGAGCCGGAGTCAGATTTAAATAAATCAAGTTTACTGAAGATAGTTTGCAGTTACATCAGCAGAAGCCAGCTTCAAGACTCACAATGAGTTCCTAGGCTGCTCTGCTTACAATTGCCAATCAATAACAATTATACACACACAACGTCATTAACTGCGTCATACATGTAGGTGGTCCACCCTGATTGGTTAAAACACAGATAGACTAGGAATTTTTCCACATTCATATATTCTGAACAATATCTTAAGCACTAACGTCAGACATCCCTCAGACTGATTAGAGCTGACTCCAGACCTGTGAAACGGGTCCACAATCAAATAGAACACACACACTTAAAGTACAATCTGTTTCTTATCCAAGGCTGAGTGTACTCTCCTTGACCAAAACTGGTTAAAAACCAGTATAATCTACATTCAGGCAGTTATAATCCTTATAATAATAATAAGACACAAAGTCTATCTTGAATAAATCACTTTAAAAGATTTAACCTTAAAAATGGCAAAATCACTTTTTAGACATTTTAGATAGTATTAACTGGTAGAAATAACAATAGAAACAGTTGTCCAGTCGTCAGCCCTCAGTTTCAATCAAGGTCTCCGTGACACCTGACCTAGTTTTGCTGTTTTCTGAAAATAGGTATAAAGAGACGGGCAAATGCACTAAATGCTCTTATATTCTTGTATTATATTCTTATGTAAGCAGTGTGTTATTCATTAATTAAAATCAATTCAAAGTTAAATACTCATTTAAATAATCAAATTATCATGTTTATTAACAATAATGAGAAACAAGATGATGAGAAAAGGATGAACGTTGATTCGTGCTGGGATGGATTGGAAGGTATAAATCCGAATCTTTCATGGGAATTATTAATAACTAGGAATCACTGTTCAGAACATGAGGGTGTCCGCTAAAGCCTGGTTTATACTTCTGCATCAATTGACCCATGGCGCATGCAACACTGTCTCTGTTGTTCTGCAATAACACTTCCGAAACGCTAGTTGGCAGTGAGGAGTTTGTTCCTCTTTGTCGAGTTTCTTCACTGGTGTTTTGTTTTTCTGAACGCTTCCTTAATGTTCAAGTGGCTCAAACCCACTCATTTTGTGGCAACTTTAACCATGCGGTAAACACAACACAAAACTTTCCATCCGGAGCTCTTTCACAGGACTCCACACTTGTAAACAATCACTCCATCGGGCTCATGCGGCTCTCGGTCCCGCCCTGACTCGTCATCGCTACCAAGCCGACCACTCACAGAGCTTGCGCTACGCGTCTCATCTCAATATCTTCGTCTTGAAGAAACCCCCAACCCTACTTTCCCTCCTTTCAAACGGGCGGCATGGTGGCCAGTGATTAGCGCTGTTGCAAGCAAGAATGCCCCTGGTTTAATTCCTTTTCAAACCAGGTGATATTTGTGCAGCATTTTGCTCGTTCTCCCGTGATCGCGTGGGTTTTCCCCGATTCCTCCGGTTTCCTCCCAGTTCAAAAACAAGCACCCTAAACAATTAATCCAAAATATTTTAACCAAACTCTGAGTACACCTTCTCAGCATTCATATCCGACACTTAGCTACAATAAGCAGGAGGGGGAGTCATCGAGATCTACCTGAGCTTAAACTCCTTTCTCGCCTTGCAACGGGAGGGAGCCCAGGGCTCAATTATCTTATAAGCTCAAGACTCTCTCCCAGGACAGAACGCCAAACTAGCTTCATTATCAATCATCAGCTAAGGTTGAACTCTTAAAGTCTTAAATTCACTAAAATGTGTTTTAGGTCTTAAATAAATTAAGGGACTCGCAATTTCCCTATGTCCAAGTAAAGCTACCCAATCAGGCCAGCACGCAATCACCTATAATCATATATACTTTTGACATAGTGAGTGTGTATTAAACTCATTGATGTGGCTTTTTTATTTATTTTTTGCTGACTCTTGTCTTCTGCTTGTTTAAGGGGAGACCACAGAGATGATAGACGTGGCCGGCCATACTGAAGACCTGTTTAGATGCCATTCCAGACCTTTATTGCGGGGTGGGGGTACGGGGGGTTTGGGGAGAGGTTCGTGTCTGCATACCTTTGTTGCATGAGTGTCCTGCATATACTGTCTGAGCGGAGCCGTTTTTCCCATACATGTTCAATCTACTGTGAGGATGATGATCTGAGCTGCAGCATTGAAAACCTTCAGTCCTGTAAGGAGTTTCCAAAACCCGGCGACAGATCCGCTTTAAAGGATGTTTTGCTCTAGTATGATGGGGAAATTGGGCCAGATGTTATTTTTGTTACTTTTTAATTTCCTAACTGTTCAATCCGGCGTTTAGTGTGTGTGTGTGATGGATTTGTGAAATGCTTATGATTTTGTAAAAATCAATCAACACAAACTGTTTTACTGGTTTCTTTTGTTTGTTTTTTTCCCCTTTTGCAAAAAATATTAAACACCCTTTTGATCTTAATGTGCTCGTTTCTGTCTTATCGTGATCTTTAAGCCATGCTTTATAGCAGTGCTTCTCAACGTATTTGGGGGACCACCGGCTCTGCACATTTTGGTGTCAGATCATCAACCAGGGTTCATTCGGTCATGGAAAAGTCGTGCAAGTTTGACATGGCATTTTCTAGGGCTGGAGAGTTTTTAGAAAAACAAACCCAAGGTTTGGGAAAAGACTTGGAAATTACATTTGCATTAGTCATTTAGCAGGTGTTTATGTCCAAAGCGACTGCAGTCACATTAGACTAGAGAAGGGGTGTCCACACTCTGTCCTGGAGGGCTGTTATCCTGCAAAGTTTAGTTCCAACCCTAATCAGACACTCCTGGGCTAGCTAATCAAGCTCTTACTGAAGCTCCGGTCACTTGACTTCTCCTCCCATAGACTTCCATTCATACGCACGCAAATGCGTTAGACCGGAAACGCAGGGTCGTGCATCAAGTTTCGCAGGTTGCTGAGGTGCAAAGTTCAAGCTTGGTGAACTCTGACCTGTGAAATTGCATCACTTGACTGAGTGAGACCAATCGAGGATGAAAACATGGAGCAATCGCTTGCTTTTTTAATGTCTAATAAACGTGTTTAATCCTGCCCCTTTTCACAGCGCCGCATGACAGTATTGCATGCTCAAACTCTAATGTGACCACAGCTTAAACCTTCTAGAAACATCCCTGCAGGTGTGTTGAGGCAAGATGGATCTAAAATCTACAGGACACCTGCCCTCCAGGATTGAGTTTGGACACCCCTGGACTAGAGCTTGTGCTTGCAAAATTGTTGTACGGCACTGCGAAAACAATTAGACGTTAATAAAAGTGAGCGATTTGCTTGTAATTTCTTATTTTAAATTATCTTCTATTGGTCTAACACAGGGGTGTGCAAACTCTCTCCTGGAGGGCTGGTGTCCTGCATGTTTTAGTTCCAACCCCAATCAGACACACCTGAACCAGCTAATGTAAGCATCATTGATTTTATATGGATATAAAATAAATGGAAACTAGAGATTGTGGCGTGTTATGATATGCAGTAATTTAAACGTGAACTGTTTTTCTGATGATTTCCCACATATATGTAGACATTACATAAAAAATCGGGTCATAAAAACTGACTTAAGTCCTGGAGTTTTTGTAGTGAAATGTGTATGAACACTGATCAGCTCATTAGAGGCTGAAGGACCTGAAATGGGTGTGACGGGCAAAGGAGGCATCCAAATCATGCAGTGCTGGTGGCTCTTGAGCAATGTGGTTAATTACAAACAGCTACATTTTTGTATTTTTTTTTTCCATAATTTATTTTATAATTTTAATCAAATTATTATTTTTTTTTTATCTAAGACAAATTTGTGTGTGCTAATTTGTGACCATTATCATGCATTATTTTGTTGGATGAACTCCAAATTTGGCTTTAGCACTGACTAATTTAATGTATATGCAGAAAAATACACACCGCCCACTTTATTAGGGGTTGGACCCCTTTAGAACTGCCTCAATTCTTCGTGGCAGAGATTCAACAAGCTACTGGAAATATTCCTCAGAAATTTTGCTCCATATTGTCATGATAGCATCACAGTTGCTGCAGATTTGTCGGCTGCACATCCATGATGCCAATCTCCCGTTCCACCACATCCCAAAGCTGCTCTATTGGATTGAGCTCTGGTGACTGTGGAGGTCATTTGAGTACAGTGAACTCATCGTCATGTTCACCAGTCTGAGATGATTGAGCTTTATGACATGCTGTGTTATCCTGCTGGAAGTAGCCATCAGAAGATGAGTACACTGTGCTCATAAAGGGATGGACATGGTCAGCAGCAATACTCAGGTAGGCTGTGTTGTTGACACCATGCTCGATTGGTACTAATGGACCCAAAGTGTGCCAAGGAAATATCCCCCACATCATTACACCACCACTACCAGCCTGAACCGCTTATGATGCAAGGCAGGATGGATTCATGCTTTCATGTTATTGACGCCAAATTCTGACCCAAGTCACCTGACCATCCGAATGTGGCCTCAGAAATCGAGACTCATCAGTCCATATTATGTATATATATATATATATATATATATATATATATATATATATATATATATATATATATATATATATATATATATATATATGTGTATATATATATATGTGTGTGTGTGTGTGTGTATATATATATATATATATATGTGTGTGTGTGTGTGTGTATATATATATATATATATATATATGTGTGTGTGTGTGTATATATATATATATATATATATATATATATGTGTGTGTGTATATATATATATATATATATATATATATATATATATATATGTGTGTGTATATATACATATATATATATATATATATATATGTATGTGTATATATTATATATAATATATATATATATATATTTTTTTAATTGGATGTAACTTCTGATTTGCCACATTTCAGCATTCATAAATAAACGGTGAATGCGTTGATAAATGAAGATATTATTGCTGCTGCTGTGTATTCAGATCTCTTGCAACTCTACAGTCCTCACTTGCTTAGGTAAGACCTCAGAGAAATTACCTCAAATTTTTAAGTCAGAAGATGATGTATACATCTAACGGAAAATGTCTAAGCAGAGATATTCCGGTTGATAGTGTTCAGCATCTCTGAAAGGTAGTTTTAAAAAAAGTGTGCCCATTGCTTTGTCACACAACAAAACAACTCCACTAACAGTACCAACAGTTTCACTTAATGCTAACTTGTTTAAATTAAATGTGTACTGAAATTAGCTGAAAATACTAATTTTCTTGGACATAATCATTGATGTGAACAGCGTTTGCTTTATAGAGCTCTTTGACATTGGTTTTTCTTTGGCTTCTGTAACTGTGTATTATGGCAAGCGTAATAAATGTATATGCTCACCTGAGTAGGATAAACTTTTTATCTGATAAAGGTTTCAAGATTAGTAATTAGAATTAAATTAATAGGCCAGTTGTAGCACTTCTATTATATCGCTTTTGACTTAATAACAGACAATTTCGAGTTTACATCGAACATTTCTGAGGGGAAAAATGTCAGAATTGTGAGTTTGCATGACGCAATAACGGTTTGTTTTTAAAATTCAGTGGCGGGAACGGGCTTCCACGGTGAAGCTATAAATCATGAGTGTAAAGTAGATGAGCCTCAGTTGACGCCCGTGCGTTTTGGAGGCGGAACGAGCCAAAGAATTTATAGTGAACCGCTCTCTCTTACCTCACTGATGTCAGAGCAGTCCAGCTGTGCGTTACTCGCTGTATATATTTATTCTTATATTTAAATGAATGTAACTTGATTTACCACATTTCAGCGTTCATAAATGATGTTTCTGCTGCTGCTGTGTGTTCAGACCTCTTGCAGCTCTCCAATCTCCTCACCTGCTCAGGTAAGATCTCAGAGAAATTACCTCATTTAGTCCGAAGATAATGTATTCTCCCAAACGGAAAGCGTCTACGCAGGGGTATTCCGGTTGATTAAATTCAAAACAGCGCGCATAGTTTAGTCATACAGATGCAGTCAAACATTTCTGAGACGTGTATTGTCCTGTCATGCCTTACAGCGATGGAAAAAGAGGCTGTTTTGTGTTCAGAATAATTGCCTCAGCCATAAAATCCGCAGTCTATCCAAAAGGAGCTTTCTTCCATTGTGAGTGTACTGTAATTACATTTCCCCTTCATGTTTACGTTATTTACGTTTCGTGAATCCAGTGACATTCAGACAATAGTGTAACTGAAAAGATCTGATATAGCCTACAATAAATATGATTAAACGGATTAACTCAATTTTTTATTTATATAGGGTTAATTTAAAGAAACAAATCCATTCATTCTTTAATTTTCTTTTCGGCTTACTCGCTTTATTAATCCGGGATCGCCACAGCGGAATGAACCGCTATCTTATCCAGCAAGTTTTTATTTTCTCACTCAACAAAATAATCTTCAACACCAATTTCCATACAAGCACTACAGTAATAAGAAGATTTTATCACTAAAGCATTTTGATGATCATTATTTATTTTGGTCACACTTTATTTTAACGTACAATTCATGCTATTAACAAAGCATCAACTAAGACTTTAGCTCAACAAACTAATTAGCTGCTTAATAATAGTAAGGGATTAGTTGGGTTAAGGTTTGGGTATTGGCTAGGACGAGGCATGTAGAATAAGATCATACTTTATAAGTGCTCATAAACAGTTCATTCATTCATTTTTTTGTCAGCTTAGTCCCTTTAATAATCTAGGGTCGCCACAGCAGAATGAACCGCCAACTTATCCAACATGATTTTACGCAGCAGATGCCCTTCCAGCCGCAACCCATCTCTGGGAAACACCCACACACACACACACACTATGGACAATTTAGCCTACCCAATTCACCTGTACCACATGTCTTTGGAAACCGGAGCACCCGGAGGAAACATACGCGAACGCAGGCAGAACATGCAAACTTCACACAGAAACGCCAACTGAGCCAAGGATCGAACCAGCGACCTTCTTGCTGTGAGGCAACAGCACTACCTACTGCGCCACTGCTTTGCCTTAAACAGTTCATATCTTTATAATAACCAGGTAATAAGCCAGTAGTGAATGCTGTGAATCGTTACTTAATCTAAAGTGTTATCATGTTATCTTCTAAAGCACATATTTCGACAGATCTTCATCTCCTTTATTTGGGTTTTGGCGTCTGTTGTGGCTGCGCTACATCCCAAATAATGCTTTATTTAGAGCGCAGCTAGCCTTTATCCTTGACTAGGCCCACACGGAATCTGAGCGCGCAGAATTCCGCAGATTTTCTGCAGATTTTTAGCCCATCATTAATTTTGTTTATTTACTTGAGTAAATGTGTAAATCTGACTTCATTCAGTTTTTATTCAGTAATGTATTACTTTTGTATTTAATATGTTAAGGTTTTAGTTATGATACTCCGCTGGATACTCCCAAAATAATTCCGCAGAAATCCGCAGATTTT